ATTAAAATACTGCCGAAGAAAATCAATATAAAATAATCAATAATGAATATAAAGTTCATTATTACTATTATTACTATCTTTATTCTATTCAACTGTTAATACTATTTCAATTGGAGCTAAATACCACCGATCAATATCAAAGTGACAGTTTGATCGTTAAATTTAATGATAACACACTGAAAACTGAGTAAAATTGATGAATTCTACTCAAAATAGTTTGCACAAATTAAATTAACTGACTAATTAGTAATTATCTTATATCATAGGCTTGATTTAAATATTAGTGTAGAAATCAAAGCTGTGACACAGGTATTATCATATAAGATGTATGAGATGGAGCAAAAACACGCGTTTTCAATGAGACTGTTACCTGTAGCTAAGTGACGAAATGAGACTAATCAATAATTAGAATGGTTGATGAAGAGATTTTCTCAGTATTCAAAGTGGTTAATCAATGAAGCCGCCAAATGGTGAAACAAATGAATCACTTTGTTGACTTTGACGCCTGTGATCAGTTATCTTAAGTTGCCGTTCGCAGGAAGAATTTAAAACATCAATATTGCTGCTATTCAAAGAAAGAACCCCAAAACTTATGTAGGATTCTTAACAAGATAGGAATAAAAGTCGTATTCATACCTACGGATTATTTGATGGTTAAAGTTATTCCGCAGGCTTGTTGGCACCAACCAGTCAGCAAGGCATATCTTCAATCCTGAAAAATCTCGTTTCCCTTCTGAGATTCAAGCGCGTGTCACCCCTTAGCTATAACAGCAGTTCAGAGTGCATTGTGATGGCGAGCCATCTAGCGAAATTGATGGACAGAATTTTTAATTTTTTTTTCATTCCTTTACGTCCCCAGTGGAACATGGAGCTTCAAGCTAAAGGCTTGAAGTTTCTGTAGAAGTGGTTTTTGCTTTTCACGGGATGCAGTTGCTAGGCTCACAGCCAACCTTCTTTACCACTCTTATTACTGGCTTAGTGAGGTAAGAGGATGTGTCGGCCGTGGATCGAACCCCGGACCACATGCGTGGTCGGCTAGCATCCTACCGTTGTGCCACCCACGCACAGAATTCAGTCTGCATCAAACAAAGGACCAGACGTATGACGCCAGTTAGTGTCCAATTAATATTTGCCGACAAATTCACTTTAGAATTAACGTATGTGGGTTAAACGATCCTACGTAGCCCATTAAGCAAACTAATTTTGTTCATCTAAAACGATTCAATGACTGTAAGTTAAAACAAATAGATCCATATAGCCAGCCTGGGTCAGTTTTATTAATGCAGCACAAAATCTTAGTAAAATCTTCCCTAGTAAACCCAAATAAGATAAGCAATCTAGAAAAAGGTTGGTCTGTGACACTTCATGCAGCTGACATGACCATCCCTTAAAATATTAGAAAGTAGCGAGCTTAAAATCTAATATTGCAATTTGGAGGAAAAGGTTGACAAGTGAAGCTTTGTTTACCCAATCAAGTCAGAATAATTAAAGTAGGGATGATATAAGTATAAAACTTGGGCACTGTGGTAGAGTATAACTCCATAATGGTTAAGATTTTATTTTGATAAATCACACAGTGTTGTACAGTTATATTAACTGATGACGTTTCGAGCACAAACTATTGCTCATAATCATACTTGATATGATTATGAGCAATAGTTTGTGCTCGAAACGTCATCAGTTAATATAACTGTACAACACTGTGTGATTTATCAAAATAAAATCTTAACCATTATGGAGTTAAAGTAGGGATGGTATGGCAACAGTCCTAGACACCTGGAAAATCCCGCCATCCTTAGCATAAGTGGGTAAGAAGAGCAAAGACTATTTAGAAAAAAACAAGATTCAAAGTTGTGGAGTTACAACTGGAACTAAATAATCTGTAAAAATACAAAACCCTTTAAAATTATTAGAAATTATTTCGGTTGCAGCCATTACTTCAGATGTGTGTAAGGGTAGTGGTAATAGACTATCGACTATTTATTTTTTTTAATTTTATCGTAGCTTGATTCCACACAGTATTTTGGTACAAGTATGAAATTTTCAGCTTGTGATATCGGTAGTCCAAATTTAGCAGGCCGACCATAGATATCAGGTGTGCGTCGGCGGGGGATCGAACCTCGGACCATGTACATGGTCGGCGAGAGTCCTAACCGCTGTGCCGCCGACTAGTCATACTAACATATTAGATAATATGTGGGGATAAGGAATATTACTAGCGGACTAGTGAAAATCACTGGTTGTCCGGCTTTATAATAAGGGAAACGAATCATAAGTAGATCAGCCTGACTAGTACACTATTAGCTGGTCCTTGTTTATGGTTGTAAGATATGGTCGTTAAAAGTGGAAGCTATGGAGAAGCTAGCTAGCTGTCTTTAATGACCACAAGTGTCTACGCTCTATCTCCCATGTTACGTAGTTTAACATATAGGGTAATACTGAGCTTGGGTGTATAGTGATCAGCGATCAATACAAACGACTTTTGGGGAAACAGATTTCAAGGGGGGTGATGAATGACGATATGGTCATCAGCTGGGTAACAGTGTGATGATTCATCAATTCAATATCCTCTGGTTTGTGTTCCAAAGTTAGTCAGCCGGTTTTCTCTCATTCTAACTTCAAATATCATAGAGTTATTCAGTCATTATGGTTAAAGCGACAATGGAACAGAATCTTTAAGTGAATTGAATTCATAAAGTCATCAAAATTAAACACACAAAAAACAAACTGATTATTGATTGGACATGGGATGTTTTTTTTGGTTCTTAATGTTGGTACTGACTGAATCTTGTCAGTAAAACTTGCAATGAGATCATTATCAAGCCCTTTGAATTGATGCTAGAAGTCAAGTGTCTGGTGCATTTAATCCACTTGATAAATAACTGTTTTCATATCCATAAGCACCAAAATATGTGCATGAGTTGGAAAATGAATATAAACACTTGTTCTAAATACAGACATTTTTATCAACTTTTACACACAAATGGATACATCAGAAAATAAAGAACAATCTGTTATGGTGCAACCATTTATAGTGATAAGTTTTCATAAATGCGTTACCTAGTGCACCTACAGACGAATTTGTGCACACACACACACACAAGCGTCACGTGAACACAGAATGAAGAAACCAAAGTCCTTTAGTCTCCATCACTTGAATATTTGTAATAATAAATAAATGGAAATAGAGTTTGAGTACATTTTTTTTCTTTTAGTTATTATGTTTAGAATTATATTTTTTCTAGAAGGAGGACATTATGTAATTCACATTTTTTGAAACATACTACTGACTTTGAGCTCTAGCTGTCTATTTTTCAATTCAATTCATTATTTTGTCATGCAAGTATTCAGTAAGCTGCTAATTTAAAGTAACATAGCTAGTCTTGCTACAAACCAACGAACACATATGAAACTACTAAAACACCCAACAAATAATTATTCGTGATTGCATTAGTTTTCCAAATGTGCTATTAGTCCAGTGGTAAAATGATTACCAGCAGCCACTCAAGCAGTCAGGGCTCAATTCCTTACCGAAACACTCCTAAACGTCGGATAGTTGGAAGTAAGCTTGGAAAAAAGGGAAAGTGGGTGTGAGGTTAGCTATCCCACCCCAGAAAAAGATAATACCACCGTCACTGATACCAGTGATGTTTAGGACTCGAAGCTACATGTATCTCTCTTTGGTTTACGAAATTGTTCAGTGGAAAAATATCCTTGTCTAAAACAAAAGAAGATAGAAATGCTTCACTCGAAATTAGCCAGTAAAACTACCATTCACAGGAAATTTTATGATGACAAATGATTCCATGAGATTTCCTAAATATTTGCAGAGCTCAGCTTTCGGATACTTACTTTAAAGCTAAGCAAGAAGTTGTCCAGTCAAAGCACAGTATATCTGATGTTGGATGATTAGAAGTAGTTCACTCTCAACCTAGATTTCGTGCCTATTGGCACTCGTCAGAAAGGCGTATGTATCTACAACGCTGAAGCACTTAATGTCCTCTATGAGATGGGAATCCATTTCACCTACTAATGCAATAAAAGATACCATCACCGAACTATTCGGCTCTACTCCTGACCTCTTGTTGGACTTTCATGTATACATTTATTAGTCACTACAAGATAGCCAATGCTATCTGTCTAGTCTTTAGTATTGGTGGTGCCACTAACTTCTCCATGTCGAAAAATCGAAATAAAGCCTAATGGATTAAATAAAATTCCACCTACTGTATTATAAGACGGCATATTTACCACGAACCACTAATACTCAAGATTCTACTCATCTTCGGTCTATCGATAAACACTAAGTGTTTCACTCGTTCGAAAGCTTTAAATGGCTATTGTAAGTATCTTCAATGAATTTAAAATGAGTATGTACTGAGGTATTCAAGTTTGGTCACGGATCGATATCAGTTAGAGAACCATTGAAAGCCGCCAGGGACTACTGGACAGCTTTTTCGTCCTAGGTTGCGACTCATCGGCAGAACTCATCCACTGGGGTGTGAACCCATGACCTCCGGTTACATGGCAACTCATAGACCATTCAGCCACTGGGACCCAACTCAGTGGCCAGTCTAAGAATTCGAACTGGAAGTTCCTAGGTTCGAACCCCAGTGGGTGTGTACTACGTCTCAAACTAGGACGAAACGACTGCCCAGTACTCCATGCTGATTGTCAATGGCTCCCCAACTGATATCAATCCGTGGTCAAATTTGAAAACAGATAAAATTCCTGCAAACCAAATCTTGAAAAGCATAATGAAGTGTCTAATTTACTTATTTTAAAATATACCTGAGATGAGTAATGTGTGGGAAAATAACACTTAGACAAGTTTATTGGTGTCATACATTCACGTTAAACACGACAGTGAATACTATTCTTTGTAAGTCAATTATATCTGATCAAAAGACATTGATTGAATCAATGAATCTCTTAATTAATAGACTAATTTTTCTGAAGCAGAATAGACTTAATAGGTAAAGTGCATGTGTAATGGAGATTTAACCTTTGTTTAAACAAAAATGAATTTTACCGTTTATTGCCTACAATAAATGTGGAAGAAATATGAGCTGAAACTAAATAATCAGATATGATTTTGTCAATGAAATGTATTCTGAACAGTGTGCAAAAACAACCTAGTTCTACGAATGTATTTGTCTGGCTTAAACATCACATAAGCTATTAGCTCAGTTATATTTCAAGTGGATGCAAAACCTTGCATCACACTGAAAACTTTTCTTCTTGAAACTTGTATACTGGAGAAAAAAAATAAACAAATATAAATTATAGACGCTATTTATTTCAGACGCCAGTGTGATTTATAAGTGCATGTTTAGAGAAATTAGATAAAGTCATGTTGTGCAATCGCTGGTAAAACTAGGCAACGTTAAAATTATGGAATCATTTTTCACTACACATGACTTTTAAATTCATGAGCTTGCATATTCGTCTGAGTAATAATATTGATGTTTTCTGTTCGTAGAAGATTTACCGTCAATAAATTCCCGGATTAACTTTAGTGATCCTTGACAGTGATCCTCTTCCAACAAAAAACAAGCAATGCTCGAGGAAAGGCAAATTTTAAATCGATCGCTTTGACATGTGATACAGGCTATGAGTTACAAATGATAATAGCAAATAAGGGGGTTCTGAACTGCGAAAATTCACTACATTTAGAGTATATAGCTGATAAAATGATTGACCTTGAGACTGGAGTGCTGATTAATATTTCAGACATTTAAGATTTCAGTAGTCTCGAGTGAATTACAGTCTCAAGAGAATGAAATAACAGTAGAATCAGTCTGATTAATGGTCATAATAACTGGCTTCAGTTGACTGGCATACTACTATGATTACTAACAGTATTTCTAATACTACTATTATTACTATTACTCCTGCCAGAGAGAGTTTAGGGTCAAATTTATCAACAAAACTTCCCTGATACAATATCTAGTAACTCATCAGAATTCTTCTGAAACTAACAAGCTGTTGTTATAATACCAGTGCTTTGCTTGCTATCAAGACTCTAACTTGAGCAGCTACTTGGTTTTTTATTTAACGCTTATCACCTGTTTGCTGTTGTGTGACTGATAGCCAGCGTTTAGTAACATAATAAATTCCTAGCTAATTTTCATCGTCGCTGGTGTGATTTTTACGTGACATTTCCTGCTGTTTATGAAATCTGCATTCTATCGGAAAAAGGCACATTTAATGTTATTGCTTGTTAATATCGTAATTCATTATTATTTTTTATCTTATTGTTCTACGTTCTCAGTGGAACATAGAGCTTCAAGCTATAAGCTTGAAGTTTCGGTAACAATAGTATTTAATTTTGCTAGCCTCATGACCAACCTTCCCTCTTTACCAGTTTTATTACTAGCTTAGCGAGGTAAAGGAGCACGTCTGCTAGGGATTCAACCTTGAACCACCTGTGTATTTGGAGAGCATTCTACCACTGTGCCACCAACGCACACCGTAATTTACTGGTGCCTTAAACTGTCAAAACTCTTTAAAATAAAATACCAAGGGTTTATTTATTGAAAAAACAAATTTCAGACGAGGTGGTTTAAACATCAGATGTAGTGAAAGCTGGCCACGGTTTTCACTCTACATAGTTTTCACTATTTATAGGAAAGATTACTTCCTCTGAGTTTAGTTCGAGTAAACAAGGGGTTTTTCGCTGCTGAACGCTTAATTTACGTCTTTATTTCATTTGTTTATGAATAGATGAAGAGTCTTAACAAAGTCAGTCAACCGAAAATGAATATTATTAGTTCAAATTGTATTATTAGTTTAATCGTCACAAAAGGAATGGTTCTCTAACTAATGTCAGCTCATGATGAAAATCCTGTAACCAATCAAATCCCTACAAACCAACACTTGGAATAGTAACCCTTTTGATTTCTTTGTTGTGCTATTTCGTGATAGTTTATTCTGCTTTAAAATGGAAGGACATCCATAAGCGTATGATAAAAAATAAGAAGAGATGATAATTTTTATCACAATATTTACCAAGATGTAGTGGTATTTGCCGAATTCAGTGATGACAATTATTAAAATTCTATAATTTAACCTGCGAACTGCATAAGACAAAAAAATGGTGTATATCACGTGATTTGGAGTGCATCTTTTTAAACAGTTCACGTGGACATTTGAAAAAGGTGTTCACAACTGCGCACATTTTTATGTAAGAACTAACCAAGTCATATTAAATTCTTGTAAACTTTTGCGTAGTTTCTCAATACTAAATGGTGAGCCATTGGTAAGGACTTAGAAAATAACTTCTAACCGTTTGTAGGATGCACATTTAACGTTGTCGGGAGGTCCAGTTAAAAAATATTAAACTTAGGTTCAAAACTTTACTGAAATCTAATATCAAGCGTTTTTATTCTTTGGGATATGAGAACAGTTTGGATAGTGCAGCACTAGTATACAATAACCACAGACGTAACTTAAATGATATTTTGAAAATGGAATTATTTTTGCTCTGAGCGTTTTCAAGGCGTCTGTTTTAATAGTTTACACTGAATAACTTCAGCAATATTAGTTGTATTTACCGTAAAAATACTGTAAGTGGAATGAAACCTCTTTTAGAATGAAACCTTTTTATTGCCATTGTTTTCTCCAAGATGAACGATTTAACTATCAGCCTGTCGCCATCCATCTAAGATGTGTTACCATCCTTCTGGAACTCTAGCCTTGATACGAAACATCCTTCATTAAAAATTTAAGTTAAATTCTGTTTAAATTACCTTATGTAGTGTGTTCTCAAGAAATCAAAGATTATTCTTTTCCCACAAATGTATAAAGGCAAGACATTTAATTTTGGTTGCAACAAACTAAAATTAGTTTTTTTTAAATCAAAAGTTAAATGAGGAGGACTAACTTAAATTTTCTCCAAAGTTCTAATATAATGAAAGTTGTCAATATGCTTCAGTTAACTTTTAAAAGTTTTATATAAGTAAGTCTACAAACCTGGCCAGTGGGCTTTGACTAATTGAAAGAACATTCTACAAGTGAATGGATTTAAAGATGTTTAACTGAATTTTGGAGTAGAATAATCTTATTAAAAGGCATTTTCGGAGTGCACTAATTTTGCTTTGCTTCTCGACATAAACATATTCATCAAACACATTCTTTTGCTTATCCAATGATCTCAAATAGCCTGAAAATATATGTCTAAACTTAGAAATATGTGGAAAGACTTAGACTTCCCCAGTACCTTCAGCAAATCAAGCGGTTAGAGTGCGAATAAAGGTTTTAAGCAACTAAATACTAAAATCCACAAGTCAAATAACTGTTAAAATCAGATGTTTTAGCAAGTTTTGTTGTAAGTATTTTAAATTAAAATGAATGGAGATTCGAGACAAAATATTTTTGTGAAATCTTCTTACTAACAGAAACAGGTATTAGATGTCAAAAATGTAGAAAATTTAGCTTACCTGTCCCATTTCTTCAATCAAATCCGATGTATTAGCCTTCGCTCTCTCGTTTATTCTCTCATCATAAAGATTTAAATCCCATTCAAAAAATAGAGAACCAATGAACTTTTGTATTTCAATCGTCACATATAATGAAATTGGAATGATGTAGTTGTATAAAACAATAAATCCCAGGAATTCTTGGCAGACACTCCAGATACTTCTCCTTTCTGGTGGAAGGTACCATGTATTACGGTGACCTAGGACTAAACTCAAAGTGATTGAAATTATTACACACAGAGCCAAAAATGCTAGTATAAAAGCAAGGTAAAAATTGAGTCTCCCTTCGACTTGTGAAAACTTTGTCTTTTTCCCCTTTGAATTTAAGGCTAGTTTTGTATCGCGGCCTGTGTAAACAACACAGCCGTAAATATAGTCTGTATTTCGGAGGCATGCTCCTCTCAGCAGTAAGTTCTTTGGTCCCAAAGGATAATCATTAGTAGGTAAGTTGTCATTTGGGTTCTTGAGACAGATGCGTCCACTAAAACTGTACAGGTCTTCTTCCGGCTGCTGGCAACATATGTAGGCCTTTAATTCAGTAGCAAGTGACAGTGGTGTATCATAAACATTTGTATGCTCAATAGCCACAAATTGTTTTAGATTTGTTTCACCATCCAAACTCGCAGTAGTTACGAAGCATTCTCCACTTGGTTCACTGGAGCTAAGTAAAAGTATATCACAAGGGAAAGATGTATTGTTTCTGCATAGTACTATATTGCCAACTTCCAATTCCATTGATTTTACGGTCTCCAAGTGACCACCTTCCGTGACAATTTCAATGGGAATATGATTTATCTCTCTATCTGCTTTAAGTCTTAAAAAGTCTTCGTACCCCTGCTTGATCATAGTCACTAGAAGTACAAAAACAAGTGGAATCACAGAAGTTACTGGAGCAACAGGTGCATCAGTGAAAAGCTGGATGACTGCAAGACTTATGAAGTAAAAGTTCGCTATTCTTTGAGCTTGCTCTCCGAGATTTTGGAAAAAGAATCCATACCATGTGTACTTCGTTGTTGTCACCTTATTTGTTCCATATAACTTTTTTAAAGGATAACCTTCTACTGGAAATTGTTTTCTGGAAGCTGGTCCTACAGGTATGAAACGTTGTGGAGGTTGCGGAGGACGTTTAAAACCGAGTTTGATTGCGATCTTTTCGACGGTTTTCAGCATTCGGAATCTTGCTTGAGACTATTTACTTTTGTGAAAACTTATTTCGTCTCTGCCACTAATGTTTATAACACTTGAGACTTCATTGCACCAAAAGCAGACATGCAAATTCATCTTGTAATACTTTTTTCTCTGAGTCACAAAGTGTTACTAATTATTACAAATACGATTAGTCTTCACATTTATATTGCCGCTGATTACTAGTTCAAGCAAACGAACCTTTTTTCATGCATTATAACAAAATGCGGCCAATGATAACTTAATTCAGCTTTTTTCAAGAGTGTGCATTCGTATGATGTTTAAAAATAGTCTGTTCTTGTTTAAGGCTAAAGCTGTCTAAAATGCTGTAAGGCATAAGAAGACGTTGTATTTATCACACGCAGAGTCAAGCAAGTTGTCTTGACTGTGAAATAAAACTGCTGTTGTTTCAATGATTGTATCATTTCCATTTTCTGATCACTCCATATCTTCGAAGTGAACCACCCAGTTTTAATAACACACTTAATTTCCACTGCATTATCGGTAATCATCTCCAACTGTATACACGACCGGCCACTAGTTTTCATCTCCTCCTCACGTAGTGGGCTCACTCTGACCCATGAACTACCAAGTCGTCGATTTTCTTATGGGTTCTGATGAAGGGCATGGTATTCGATGTCGCTTCTTTCCTCAACACAACTAGGTTTACCTCTTCAAATTTGTTAGATTGTATGTTGTTGACTGATTCGTTGCCTGTCGTAGTACTCTGTCACTCATCCATTCTGGCTGGCCATCTGACCTTTAGTATCCAGATGAAGGAAATAGCTGTTAACAAAACTCTAGAGTAGCCTGATAGAAACGTTTAAGCAACAAGTAAAGACTCTTAATTATATAGAAGCACTGATTTGGCATAAGTGTTGAAAATTTGGACATGGTGTATTGTGTTTCGTGTCGTAGATCGGCACGCTAATTTCAAAGTGGTGAACATCTCTTCTGCTTCCTTGGTCCTGACTTGATTCGCTATAGTCCGTTGTGCCGTCTCTAGTCGGAATAATGATGTCCAGACAAATGAAAGCGACGACTTCATTGGGTGTTCTACAGTGGATGGTAACTGGTGCTAGTTGTTTTGGTTGGTTATCTTAACCATCTCGTCTGTCCTATGTCCGCCTGAAGCTGTATTTTGCCTGTCTTTATTATCAATAAAACTTACTTTCACCTCTAAATCTTATATTTGTGCAGTGTCAAGCAAAAATCATTTGCGAAATCCAAATCTTCAACAACCTGTTGTTCTGCTGGAAGTGCACTTGCCTCCTCCTTCCCCACAGTCTATCACATTATCCAGGCCATCCTAATCAGGCATTTAATTGGTGATAGAATGCCTTTTATTACTAATGTTTTCACTTAAGAGAATTCACTGAGCTTCCCCTTGTGAATTTGGGAATGATGCTGCTCAGTAGTTTCGCTTTAGGTAGACAGAAACATAATAATGCATATATTCTCTCAATGGCTTACGTCCCATCAGTATTTTAACAAGTTGGTCTTTCTTCTAGTTGGTAGACGCCTTCTCTTGTCCTCCTGTCATCTGCAATAATGACGTCATCATGTCATCCGAGATCTCTGGGATTTTTCTAGGGCTTCTGTAGGGATTACACCTGGACTTGCTATTTTTCCGGTCAAGCGTTTCTACTTAGGTTAACCAACTTTACCATGCCTTTTGCTAAGAAACATTCGCATGAGCTCGACACAGTTTCATGAGTTATTTTACTAGTGAGTATATCCTGTGTTGTCATATCTTCAACACTCAACAGTGTTTCAAAAACATTTAGATATCCTACACTGACAACTACTTCAACATTAATTGCGCATGTTATTTCAGTAAATCAAGTGACAGTTTACACATTGTGTAGACACTAAGACAAAGTATGTTGTGCGAACACAGAACCGATGACTCCCCATACTTTCAAGTAGCACGTTCTCGTTAATCAGCATGTAGACATCATCGGTGGAACTACAACCTTAATATTATAAATAACACTTGAAAATTAGATATGTAAACTATCTAGACAACTAACATTTAAACTGACGTTTGTCCTTTGAATGAAGACCGTTTGGGTCGCCACCACAGGAGTGAAATATATTGCCCCAAACTCGTCACTGGTTGAAAAATGAAGCATAAGATTGAATGCTTCCGACAGATAACATTCACAGTGAAATCCGCACCAGTTCATTACGTTCCGAGTGAAACAGAGAGCTTCAATTTCCAAAGTTTCACCAGCAGCGTTTTTGTTTTCTTACGGGTTAGCGTTGCTACTCACGCTCACATCTCACTTTTCTGAGGTCACTATGGAACCCCAACGAAACCGACGAACATTCTGCAGCTGAAACACGGACGCACCATCTTCAAAATGCTTTAAAAATTAATCGGATAGTTGTGTCACAGAACGAAGTTTTTCGCCCGACGTAAGTACAGTTGGTAATCCCCCGGATTCTTCCTCACTATAGAATTTCCGTCACAACTCATACGTAGCATCTCGGAAAACATCACAACCACTGTACCCAAGAAAGCGCTAAGTTCAGAAAATTTTTCTCTGAAACCAAAAAACAAAGAAGGTGACAAGAAAAAGGCAGCTAAAAGTGCAGCGAAAACAAAAGTTTGTCAAGTCAATCGTTCCATAAACAGAGGTCGATTTCCTTATCCGTGAGGATTAAGGCATAGTTTTTGATATGGTTTTCAAGGGACAAGAGTTCATCCGTGGCATGATGGCTTGATTGTGCATTTATGTAATCTGTTCATGTCATCGCTAATAAGTACACCTTCAAGCAGCCGCAAATGCTATATTCTCCCCTCACTAGTTAGGGCGATGTTAAGGAAAGCACGGCCACAAGGTTGGGGGAACCAAGCTAAGGAGTCGGACTTACTGTGACTGAGGCACAAGTTAATCAGGATAGATGATCACATGGCATCCGAGAGTGTCACTTCCAGCTGAAGCCAACTAGAAGAGAGGTCGAGGTCCTTCGAGCAGCCTAACCAACAAGTTTCGCTGAAATCGACTTTCACAGAACATCGTTTACTGACAGTTTTTCTTAAGAAACTTCTGGCATTATTTTGCTCCTCTTCTTCCGAATATATATCAGGTCTGGTTGAAAAATTGTACTGCTCTGAAACAAGCATATCTGATGTCAAGTGATTGGAGTCAGTGGGTGTGTAGCTCTTGACCTTAATATCATGCTTGTTGATAATTATCAGCCGGGCACATCTGCAACCGATGGGTAAGTGAAGTCCCTCATGTGGTGCGAGTTCATTTCACCCACTACTACAATCAGAGGCATTGCTACTGATCATTAGCCCGGTACGTTCGAACCAGGTGACGCTTTTTGCACGTGTTTTCGTTTATATTCATTTATTGCTTACTGTTGATCAATCTTTAATAACGATGGGCCGAAATTCTAAAAAGAGTGTTCGTGTGAACACCAGTAATTTAGAAAATAGCACCAGCTCGTCTAATAACACATTACCACCCCTTATTATTAGTAGTTCACCCAACAGAAAAGACTCGAACATAACTCTGACCCCTGTAATACGGGTGGAAGATGTTCTGTCTGAAAAAGTGGAGCTCTCTTACTTAACATGCATTATTAAAGAGATGCAGCTACAGATTGATGAATTAAAAAAGAAATTAAGTTCATTTGAATGTATACCCGAAACAATCTCACTTATGAAAAAGGAACTGCAGGATCCTACAATCCTAAAGCTTTTTAATATGACCTCTAGAATGACGCCTACTGACTCAGAAAATGCGAAGGAGCTAGAAAACGCCATTGACTTTCTATCCAGCGAAGTTGTTAAAAGGCTGGCTTCGAAACAAAACGCTATAGTGTATAATGTACCAGATAGCGAGCCCATTAAGTCGGTCCAGCACTCATTGCTGAAGGCTGCAAATCTCTTGAGTGCACCTTGTCAGTGCATTCGCCTAAGTAAGAAAGACCTAAAGCATCCCTGTCCTATACTCTTTAGGTTCGACAGCTACATAATAGCTGAACGATTTAAGAAGGCCGAAGATCTTCTGGCTACTGCCACTAAATTCAAGACTATTAAAGTAGTCTCGGATAAAACAACTAACCAAAGGCAAGCGACCAAGAACTCCTTCGATAGAAAGTTGACCACACCGAGAACTACACCTGGTATCAGTGCTAAAGTGTCGACGGACACTGAAGCACAGCAAGTCACCTGTATAGTGTTGGAAAAAAAATCGGCAAGTAAAAGCGACTCGAAACTCAGTAAGAGCAGTGTCACTGGGTGCAACCCTAAAGTACATGAGAGCACATCTGGAAAACCTGCTGACATACATGAGGTTGATATTGACTCACAAACTATGTCTGACCAGAAACCACTGGCAGACCACACTCAATCTGGATGCAAGCCCGAGAGTCCCGCAGTAGAAACTGCAAGAAAGACGACAAAGCCTAGAGTCCCACTCCAGACTTCGACATACCTCCCTCTCAATAAGTCTAATAAGCAACATGCCAGTCTAAAAAAAGACAATGCATGGGTAAAAAACCATATTCCCAAAAAAGTCATCCATCATGTGAATGGGAACACCCCTTCCCGAACTAGGAGTAATATACCTAGCAACGCACATAACTTGGGAATGCAACGTAGAACGGATCATCAGGATATAAGGAGCACTAAACGGGGCTCGTATAGGCACCATATTAATGCATATTCTTCTCCAAACTCTCACACTATCTATGTGGAACCTCATCAACATAATCAGTATAGATCGACACATGACCCTCTCAATAACTTCACTCACACATGTGATGTGAGCCAATATGCATACGACTATGTAAGACCCATGAGGTACAACTACCAAGGTAATCTTAACACAGGGTACCTAGGTCAAGCAAACTATATATCACCAGTAAATGAACGCAGATGCCCACCCATGGATGCTAAAAGTCAAAACATGCAACAGGATTATTTTCGGATGCAGCAAACAATAGCCCCACTCGCTGCACAATTCATCCAGGAAATAGTACACACACTGACTCTGTCTCACCTCAGAGCCCCTCCAAACATAACGTAGGAATAGTAACAAGTAACCATGTTAACCTCTCCCCCAATAACTCTGGTTTACTAACGATTATGCTCCTGAATGCTAGATCCCTCCTTAACAAAATAACATCGCTTCGCTGCCTGGCATACATAGAACGGCCAACACTAATAATGGTGACTGAAACCTGGC